GATTCAGATTCTATTCAACACAAATGGGAAGTCATTCAGTCACTTCTTCTATATGGGTCAGAAACTTCCACTGCATGTCACCCACGAAAAGGATTTCCAACGAGTTACAGATCTTTAACAAAAACAGCTGCACACTTCGCTGGGTTCATACTGAAGATCAAACGGCCAGGATGAATGAGCAACAAGAAACTCTGGTTGGGAACAAACGAATAGGCGAGAGCCGACTGTGCAACAAATATGTTGAAGAGACCGTCGAATGGCATAGCGTGCAGTGCAGGCCATCACTCGAGTGGGTTGTTAGTGCGAGGGTGACATGTAGGATATCGTGTTAGGAGGAGTAGATGAGAGATTATGGGGAATCGTGGACCCAGGTGAAGAGGACGGCAGAAGATTATATAGAAGAAAGTGGAGATGTGTTGCTGAAACCCTATTTCTAACTCGGAACTCAAGGGAATAATAACAATAATAGATCTACAAGATTGCTAATAAGCTTTCATTTCCTCCTCACACACAATCTCCTCCATGTTAGTCCTCAGACCCACACCCAACTCGTCGCTTCTCATTGGCGTTCCATAAGAAGCTATGGCGCGTGACGTCACTCGACAGTCTTTTCAGTGTGCATCCGATCAATCTCCATTTCCTTGTGCCTATTAGTTGGGCAATAAGGCCTTGTTTAGTTCCTTGCACTGCTAGAGTTCGTTGTAGCTTACCCTTTCTAGAGATGCATCTAATCTAATCGCCGACCATGCACATGGTCCGGGGTTCGATCCCCGGCCGACGCACTCCTCTATCTTGCCTAGCCAGTGATAAAACTGGTAAAGAGGGAAGGTTGGGCATGAGGCTAGCAACCTCATCCCGTAAAAATAAACAAGCACCACTGCTAACGAAACTTCAAGCCTCCAGCTTGAAGCCCTATGTTCCACTGGGAACGTGAAGGAACATAAAAAAATCTAATCTTCAGAACGGAGCCAAGGTGGATGTTTTTGAAAGTCTGAAACCTGTTCGAAATGCTTTGTCACGGAATCATAGCGAAGGAGTGATCTGACATTAATGGTATATATATAGCACTAATCACCGTCAACGGTAGAAATCTGTAGGAAATCACCTTTGTCCTCTCAAATCCAGGCGGCATAAGTGGGGGGGATTTCAAAGCCAGACAAGATTGGAAAAGCAAGACAGACCTTCATTTCCATGAAATCAGTGTGGGAATCAAATGCACACAACATAAAGAACAAGGTTCGAATTTTCAACACTAATGTCAGGTTAGTCATTGCTTGTAGATCGGTTAAGAGACTTCGCGCGAATGTCACCGAAGGCACTTCCGACAGGCTTCCTCTTTGGTTGATGTTGAAGATCAGATTGACGGACACAAAAGATAAGCAATATGGAACTGTGTCAACGAATCCACCTAGAACAAATTATTCAACAAATATGCCGAAGGAAATAGGGATGGATTGGACAAACGCTAAGAAGACCATTGAGGGACATTATACCACAGACACTAGAGTTGAAAAACCGAATGGGAAACACGGAGAGTAACAATGAGGAGATTATGTGAGGATGAAATGAAAGCCTATGTGCAGCTGTGGAGCCAGCTTTATGTTTCACTCGGAGCCCAAGTGATCAATAATAATAATAATGAATATAGGAAAACATGTGATGCTTTAAGTTGCACTTTTAAGTTTGAATTGGATGAGCCAATGAGACAAACGAGAAAAATTTCCAGGAAGTAATCCCTGATGAGTATTCTTATATAATTCTTTATAATTTTCAGCGGTTGGATATGTGAATCATTGACTACGGTAGTGCTTCATTGTTGGCCAGGACTTCAAGTCCCCCCCCGACACACAACACATGTGGCTCATGGTCTGGTACGTGAAAAATCTGTTTCGCATAACTGAGTCCTAACTAACTGAATACATTCATTTGATTCCTGTGGAAATAATCAATACGACAGTGACTGATTACATTTGTCAGTTATTGTAGAGTAGAGTAGAGTAGAATTCGGACACCGCGTAGTAGAATGTAATTCCACATTAGATAAGTCTGTAACGGTAGACGACGAGAGACTTGGTAAAGGAATGTTTATTTGCAATTTGGTATCTCCATAAAGCTAAATTTTGTACACCTTATCTTCAAAGCACCATTTTTTAAAAATTATAGCTTGATTCCACACCGTATTTTTGATACAAGTATAGAATTTTCGGCATCCAATATCGGTAGTCAAAATTTTGCATGCCGACCAATTGATATCAGCTGTGCGTAGGGAGGGGATCGAACTCCCCGGACCATGTGTATGGTCGGCGAGAGTCCTAACAGCTGTGCCACCGACGCACAGATCTTCCGTGTTGGTTGTGCTACTTCTGGCCTTCCTTCATATTGTGTTTCTTTCACTTCTCCCATGTATCTCCGCAACGCTGTATCATTTTCTTTCTATCTTCCTACTGTTTGATGTTTTATGCCGATGACCGTCTCTTTATGTATATATACTACTGATAAATCTTATCAGTAGCACACACCATAAGTCTCTCTGATATAATACCCAGTGAATGATACAGCACACCTATTGTGACTGTTTATTCAATGAATATTCCATATGTGAATTATTGTATCACTGTGTATTATGTAAAAAAATAAATAAACCTAACCAATATGGAATTATCAGTTAAGGCTATGCGCCAGATCATCATCAATAATAATAATAATAATAATAATAATAATAATAATAATAAAAACAATCTGTCAGGCATAAATGACAAAATAATGATAAGTAATACATTTAAAATATTGAAATATTTTGTGCTTTATGATAAATTAATCAAATTATTTCAGAGAACGCCTTGCATGTACTTGCATGCATGCATGACATCCTTGTATTGCTTGCAATGCCAAAACTCTGACCGTTTAAAATGACAGCAGTAGGGGTTTGTGTGCAAAAATGAAACTTGTTCAATCAATATTTTTAAGTACAAATTGACTGACTGGACAGAAATGTTTGGCCTTTGCTGACGTATCAGCTCTTGGTATGGATGCTTCGACAATTTATGAGGATTAACACGATGTTATATGATGGATGGTGACTAGCAGTGGAATGCCTTTCGTCTTATTTGGGAATAGTTAGACGGATGTACCTACAATCTACAGTGAGCGAAGGTGTTCCCACTGGGAATCGAAACCAACACTCATCAGTTCAAACGCTAAATAGTCATTCGCTAGACCATTCGAACCACGAAAGCCTATGCGTTTGAAACGATGGATGCAGGTTTCGAGTTTCAGTGAGAATACCATAACTCACTGTGGACTGCTGGTGTGGCGTGTGCTACTGACAAGATTTATCAGTAGTATATATACAAGCAAATTGATAGGAAATAGACAAAATTGAAAACAACATTTAAAGGCAGAAGTTACAGAAGTAAGATTGTTTATTCCCCAAAACTGGATTTAGCGTACGTTTTAGTCAGGAGATAATCTCATTGGACAACTTCTTGTCTCAAGGTCTAACCTCCGGAAAATCCACAAACTTCAGAACAATTTATTGTGCCCTGACCTAGCTGACCTTAAATGTGGCTAGAAGTCCGTTACAAAGTCTCTTGTCTTCTTTCGTTACACTGGAACACCCGGCCGGCAACTCCCCAATAGGACGAAATGTGCATCCTGGCTTACACTGCTAGTTATATATATATATATATACATATATAATTAGCTCGCTATTTTGCTAGCCGGTCCCAAGCCCGTGTAAAGAGGGAGGGTTTGGCGAGGGGCTAGCGACTCTACCCTACAAAACCAATCAAATTGATACTCAATTTCAACGCACAATAAAAATATTAAAAATATAAAATACTTATTTTTCGCTCGAATCGGAGAGGCGAAATAGCACAGAGGGCTAGTGATAGCCTTCAGGAAGCCAGTCAGCCGATTTGTCTTCTCTCTTCCGATGAAAGCAAGAATAAGGATAGGGACGTGAAATGTCCGTACAATGTACGGGACTGAGAAGACCGCCCAAGACCGCCAAAAACTTGCGAAGATATGGCATAGAAGTGCTGGGTATCTGCGAGAGCAGATGGAATGGATGTGGACTATCAAAATTGTCAACTGGAGAGTCAGTAATCTACTCCAGTATAGTCACCCAGAAGACAACCACGAACACACTGAGGCAGTGAGTGGCTATCATGATGTGGACAGTGGCAGCCAAAGCCATAATGCAGTGGGAACCAATTTCATCCAGGATCGTGACAGAGAGATTACACTTGAAAGGAAGGAAGGTCACAATTATCCAATGCTACGTACATTGCTACAAACAACTCGGAACAAGAGAAGAAGGAAAATATTCATAGAAAACTACAAACAGTAATGGACAACATTCTGAATGGCAACACCAAAATCCTTATGGGTGATATGTGTGCAATTCAAACTGGAAGCAAATAATACAGGAAGAGAACTCATTATGTGTGAAGAGGCTCTGGGCGAAATGAATGAAAACGGAGAACTCTTCGCAGACTTCTGCGCCTTCAATGACTTGGCAATCGGAGGCAGAGTGTATAAGCACAAGGATATACAAAAAGTAACATGGATTTCTCCTGAAAGACATATCACAAATCAGATAAACTTCATCTCAATGCTGCTCAAGGAAGTTGAGAGGCAGACAGCCTACTGGACACAATATCGTGAAGGGGATCAGATGTGGGCTCAGACCATCATCCAGTTCAAGGAACCTTCAAGGTGAAGCTGAAATCCTTTAGAACAACTGGAGACAGGCTACAATTCAAGTTCAACATTCAGAAACTAAAGGACAAAACTAGACAGGATACCTTCCTTACAGTTCAGATCAGAGCAAAGTCGGATACACTACGTAGTATCACTGAGGAAATCTGCATGGAAGAACATTGGAACTCTCTTAAGGTGATGTTATATACATATATATATATAATACATATGAGAAATTTAGCAAATAAACACGAAGTAAAACATTAAAAAAAAAGAAATTGTTATCTTTTGCATACCATCACAGAAAAACATATCCCAAATTCTTAATACAGCTGCCCAAGGTAAGGTACGTGTGTAGGCACACATGAACCATTCCAAAACAACAAGATTTGGCTCCACTGAATGTTTTTTCTATAAAATAATAATAGAAAAATAAACATATAAAAGCAGATTATATTGGAATGACACTGAAAAATTATTGTAGTGAATAAAGCAGAAGTTATAAGCAAGCAAATACTCAAATTATTCTTAAATATAAAAATCAGATATATAAAAGTATTCATCAAAGGGTGTATAGCGATTTCATTTTAGCGATTCAATTGTTCATAAAAATTCTGTTTAATAGCGCCTTAGAAAATAATGACATACAGATGGTTAAATATAAGATGATTCACCGCTAGCTTAAAGATACAGAGTGTGTTGACCACTTCACCTATTCTAGGAGTCACAGCAGCTCCAAATAACTGATTGCCAAACTGCATCATTTCTGGCATATACATGATATCCGGTTGACTATCGATAAAAGGACATGTGTAGTACTCAACAGTCCGCTTTGTGCTCCTCCTTTATGACTGTGAGACACAGCCATTAAAAGTGGATGACATGAAAAGACCGGCTGTCGTTGATCACAAGTGTTTGAGTCCCATCACCCATTTTAGGTGGTATAATATAGGATGAGTAATATTGAGGTTAGGCTTTGGGTGTTAGATAGGGAAGAGGAAAGTCAATCGATAAGGTTATGGAACTACATCAATCGAGATGATTAGGACATGTGTTACGCATGCCATAGGAGATCCATTAGAATGGAAAAGGGCTACTGACGGCCAAGCTAAAACTTGGAATCAATCCATGGAGTATTTTAACAGTTAGGTTGAGCCACGTAGAGAGGTATATGCTGACTGCTGTGAACCTGAGGATTCTAAGAATCAATGCCTGATGACCACTGGTGGTATGGGTCAAAATCGTTCTCACTGTCGCAGACGCATTCACTCTTTGTGACATCTCCAATCTGATAAACCGTGATGTTTTCTATTTCTGCTTATTATCAGTCTTTTCAATCTTCTCCTCTCTCTTTTATCTACCTTTGTGTACTACATGGGGTGAGGGGAGTATGGGAACTTCAACAGGTGGACTTTTGTGCGAGGTTCTATGTTGAAACCAGTCTAGCCAATCACAATCAGACAGATGGCGAGTAAAGCTGAGGAAAATGTCATACGTAACAAATTCGATGTTTATAAATTAGTATTTTATTACTTGATGGGTAATTTTCAAATCAATAAAAGTGCTATTGGATAGAATATAGTTTAGTGGGAATGATAATAATAATGATAATGAGTGTGATAAATAACTTGGAAAGAGAAAGATTATAATGTCGACTATTGTAAAGCACAAAATAATATAATTTACAAAATACCTTGCAATGACTGTGAGTTAGGTCAACTACATAGGTCAAACTAGTAGGTCGGGGGTAATCAGATTTTCGGAACATAAGAATTTAGTTAAGGTAAGAGTGGTTGACCCCGAGAAGATAAGGAATTTAGAAAAAAGCTCAGCAATCGCACTACATGCATTAACACACAACCACACAATAGCATGGTGGGAGAGGGTTAAGATTCTAAGGAGTAATCTATGTAGGTGGAGAGAGAGATTGATTACTGAATCCTGCCTGGTTCATTGAGTCTACAACCAACACAACACATGCAATAGAAGTGACTCAGCGCAAATACCAGAGATATGGAAGATATTATTACCACCAGTCAAATCAGAGGAGGATAATAAATAATCTTAAAATTCTATATCAATTCACGTACATCATGACATTCTAACAAGTTACTTATTTTGACTATAAAAACAATCGTCTTATTTGCCATCTGATTGTAATTGATCAGTAACACTTATTATTATCATTTCTGAAGGAAAAAGTTGTGTGAGTGACTTGATAAGATTATGAGTAATAGTTTGTGCTCGAAAAGGTGGTCATCAGTTAATATTACTGTATAACACACTGTGTGAATTATCAAATTAAAATCTTATCCATAATGGAGTTATGCTCTACCACAGTGCCCAAGTTTTATGCTTATAACAAAATAATTTAAAAAAGAAAGGAAACTGATCATAAATGCCGAATGTGCACATAAAGGTGATGCGCCTCTGTCGTCCAGGAAATTGACTTGAAAGAAGCTAGAAAATCAAAACAACCGATTCAATGAAGAGACCTCCTCCTTTTAACGAATTTATTATCAAGCTGTACCATAACAATAATAATAATAATAATCATATATTGAATGCATTTAACTTTAATTTCCTTGATGTGATGTTATCAAGGAGGATTGATAGAATCCTGAGAAGATCAATTTATAGACAGCCATCATGGAATGGTTAACAGACGAATCTTTACAGCTAGGTCCCCCTATTGGTCAAAAACGAAGCCTAATAGCCAATTATTCGTTTTCTAGAGATTTTGCTTGATTGGTTGAAGGATTTCATTATGGTTCCAGGGGAAACCGTGACCAGTAGGGTACAGCAGGTTGAAAGTGAGGCAGTAACTCATCAAAGAAGTCATTGCGACGTGGTCGGGGTGTGGTGAGAGATGGTTGCTAGCCAAATTGGTTGACAGTAATTGAGGTCAAAGGTCAAGATGGACAGGCGGATATAGTTAACATATAGATGAACTGACACAGCCACAAGAGGTGCAAGGTCAACTTTGTGTGAGAAACAACCAATCAACAGACTGTATTTTCTACTAACATTAACCTACAATAATGTACATAAAAATCTATAAATACGTGTTGATTTTCCGTAATAAACGTTCTGTTGCCTGGCCTTGTCTTCTGTTGTTACAGGGGTATGCTACGGATTGACAGAAGTTAGAATTCATGGCCTGGCCATTGGATAGGTTCCCAGTGGCTGCTTATTGGTCTGTGAGCTCATCTTGTAACCGGAAGGTCCTGGGTTCGAACCCCGTCGGCGGGCATATACTGCCGAAGAGTCCTAAACTAGGACGAGACAGCTGTACAGTACTCCCAGTTGGTTTCCCAATGGTTTTCCAACTGATGTCAGCTCATGATGAATTCGTCCAACCGAAGCCTAATAGTCCTGATGATGTAGGGGAAAAACTAAATCTTTTAAGAAAAATCCTAATGGAAATGGATTTCCGACAAGTTTTGTAGACAAGAATATACAGTTTAAACCGATGAAATTTAATTTAACGTCCGTATCTAAGGTAATGTTGTATATAAACCTTGAATTCAAAGGTGACTTAGCTGCCGATATCCTTAAAAGAAGGATATCACAGCCTTTGAAAAGGAGGAAAAGATTCTGTAATTGATCAACTCTATGAGTGTTTACCAATTCACCTACTCCTGTGGAGCTAGGTATATCAGTCGGAGGATGCAGGTCTTGTCCAAGAAGGTGCAGGAACATTATCCTGTGTGGTCATGAAGAGGTGGAAGTGGAGTTATGAGATGCGCAATAATTGAACATCTGGTCTATTATACTGGTCACCTACCTAATTTCTACAACCTCTACCTTTAACATTATCTGTAAGGCGAAAAAACGCGCCCAAATTATTACCTATCAGACTCATCTGTATTTGTTGAAGCTTTGGCAGTCAACACAGAAAAGCCAGACCTTTGTTTGTTCAACCACTCCTGCTTTCATGGTCAAAATCCATCTATGCTAAACTATTATAATCTCCATTACTACTTTGGCACTACTTATCTGCCGATTTGTTTATTCAAGTTTGTATATCCTTCCCTTATTGTATTGATTATTATAATTATTATTTATTTCACCTATAACCCTTTGTTTATTTAATTTAACATAATTTTTGGCAATGTTGTTGTCTTATAGAAATTCTCACCATCTTAGAGAATGTTTTGATTGACTACTAATCTTATTAATTCGACACCCCCACCCCCCACCACCACCTCTAATTTTACACACTTCACATGAACTATTTTATAAAGTACAAAAAACAATTATTTTTTGTCTCAGTTCACCACTTTCCTCTAGGACCTATTCTGGTCGATATCCCTTCAAGGGTCATCTTGAACAGATGTTGACTCGGAATTTGACTTCTTAAAAGCCACGCTCGCAGAAAACGGTTACCCTAACCGATTTATTGATAGCAACATGAAAGATAAGCAGTCTAAACTGGTCACCGACACAGTTCCAAAGAAAACCATATTCATGAACTTGGAATTCAAAGGTGATCAAGCTGCAGACATGCTCAAAAATCGTCTCTCTAAATAAGTAAGTCAGTAAGACGTTCTATGCAGCAAAATTACATATGACGTTCAGTAGCCGCAAGTTGTTCTCTACCTCTGTAAAAGATAAGCTTCTCCGTCTGGTTGCCTCCATATGCATCTATCAGTTCACCTGCTTTTGTGGAGCAAGGTAAATTTGCCGTAGTCAGAGGACGCTTTCCACACGGATACGAGAACATATTCCAGCATAGTTGTACAAGGGAGAAAGGAAGTGTGTGCGAAGCTCTATTCTGGAACACCTGACCATGATTTTAAGATCATATATAGAATCCATGCTAACTTCCCGCGTTTTCTTCTTTACAGACTTCTAAAGACAGCTGAGGCCTTGGCAATTCATGACTTTAAGCCAGACCTTTGTGTACAAAAGAAGTATGTACAATCTCTACTTCTGATTTGGCCGTAGAGGGATAGACATTTATTTATTTTGTTTATTTAGTTATTCAATGTACTCTTCCCTTATTACTACGATTATTATTAATATTATTATTATTCTCACTCTGAATCTTTTCTACTTGACCCACTTGACATTTTAAAGCCAAAATTATTAATTTTTATGCTACAATGGGAATTATTAAATTATTGAACAGATGTGATTAAGTTCTGAGTTCAATGAAATAACCTACTATCGCATATATGTTGATGATACGCTTGTTGTTTGTAACGATATGAGTCATGCATTCGTATTATTTGACTGTATCTTAATGAAATCCACTCAAACATTAAATTCATCATGGAATATGAACGAGTTCAATTTCCTGTACCTTAAAATGTAAGAAGAAGAAGAAATGAGGGTACGGTGGAAAAGTTCATCTACAGAAAAGAAACCTGAACCGGACAATATCTTCACCACACCAGCTTCTGTTC